TTTTCCAACAGTCCTTGTTAGCCAGCCATACTGCGTTTACTTCTGAAGAGCCAGTTGATTTTTAGAAATGAGTAGCTACTCACAAACAGAGTTTCCTTCAGAGCCAAGGCATGCTTTCCAATATTTTATTCTTTTTGGTAATATACTTTTATTCATATCTATAGTACCATTGCTTGGTTTCTCTTTTGGTTTGGTCTCAATGTTTAAAATCATTTCACCTCTCTAGAAATTTGATTTATAGTCTCAGAAAGTTGATATCTGGTTGCCTGGAATGATGTTAGAAATTTATTGCCAAAGAGGCGTAAGAGCTTAACTTTATGGGTAGACTGGTCACAGTTTCAGATATTTGTCACATTGTTGCACGTAGTCTATTAAGAGGAATACAGAAATTGAAAATTTTCAGATCTTACCTGGGAGTCAGATTGACATTTCTAGAAGAGGTTAGATATGGTGGCACAGGACTGTAATCCCAGCACTCTGGGGATCTGAGACAGGAAGATCACAAGTCTGAGCCCAGCTGAGGCAACTTACTGAAACCCTGTCTAAAAATAAAGAGGGCAGGGGGCGCAGCTCAGTGCAAAGGCCCTGGGTTCAGACCCCAGTGCTAGTCCAACCCATACCCCAATCCCCAGTTTCAGAAAGAATAGCAAGATTAAGATACTGAAGATAGAGTCATGAGACTGGGGGTGTAACTCAGTGCCTAACATGCAGGAAGCTCTGGGACAAGTCCCCAGCACCACAGAAAGGAAAAACAAAGCAGTCAGATGAAGAAAGGTAAAAAGAAAAAGGCTGTGAAGTAGGCACAACAGAATGTTTCCATAACTGACGGTAGGGGAAAATGAGTTTATTATCAACAGTCATGGGAGTTCATGTCTGAAAATGGTTGGTTCAATGCGATGTTGACTGTCCAAGCCAGGAGTTCTGAGGTATGGGGAAGCCAGATACTCAGGTCCTTGAGCCTGCAAGGCAGGCAGCAAAACCACTGAGCAAAATCCCCAGCCCCATTGTATTTTATTTTAGTGTGATCATCAGCATGTGGTTTGAAAATACTTGGAAAAAGCACTCCTCTGATCATACTACTATGGGGAAAGCCCTGAAGAGTGTGGACCAGTGGGTCCGAAGTGTTCCGAGGACAGAGATTTTGAGCGTTCCAGGAGAATTGCCTTTCCTGAGCTCAAGGAAACCAAGGTGTTGGGTTAGCTTGTCCTGAAAAACTAGACGTTTTGTGTGTGGCTGTAGTTGCCTGTGGTGGTCCATAACAACCACCAAGTAGAACATGCATTATTGGATACATTTGTTTTTGTATTTCTAAGTGGATTTTATTTAGGCTAAAGATACTGATTTTTTTTTTCTCCTAGTGAATGGAATACATGAAAACTGGCTGTTTAAACTTAATAGGAACTGTATTTACTTACCATGGCATTTATTTTTTTGTATGAGTGGCCTTTTTCTCCTAGTCTTCTAGTGCCTAGTTGAATATAGTATCTCCCTAACATTGGTATTCTAGCTGGAGTTACATTACTTAAAATAATATGTGCTCTTCGGCTAAAATGTGTTTTCTGGACATAAATGTACGTCAGTCCTGGTATAACATCCTTTAGAGTATGTCTAGGCTGTGATTTGACTGACTGCATAAGTATAAGGTCTCATGCAGATAAACCAAAATTAACTTCTCTGGTAAAGTAAAAGTAACCTCAGCTTTCTTTCATTTCCGCCATAGAATGACAGAGATTTGATGAACAGAATGTAGTTAGCTCCTTGGAAGTAAAGCTGTTAGTGTTTTTAAAATTAACTGTTTGGAAGTCACAAAGTTGAAGTTTGAAGCAGGGCGTGGTGATGCACGCCTGTAATCCCAGTCCTCGGGAGGCTGAGGCAGGAGGATCGCTGTGAGTGGGAGACCAGCCTGGGCTACACAGTGAGTTCCAGGTCAGTCTCAGTACACAGTGAGACCCTGTCTCAGAAAACAAACGTGGAAGTTTGGTTTGGGAACACTTGAAACCCCATGTGCCTCTCAGGAGGGCAGCCATCCAGATCTGACTCCAGCAGGGAGCATGGAGCCGGGTGCAGGAGACATCCAGAGCTTGGGGAGGAAAGCCAGCAGCATTCAGAGGGTCCCCCGGCCATTGCTTTGTGTCCATGGCTGACACAGCCAGAACTAGGGTCCTGTTCTGAGGGCCTGTTGCATCTTGTTTACTGTAGAGAATCACCTCCTAGGGAACCTGAGGGCAGGGAAAGTCTACAAAGATGAGCTGCTAGGTCAGGATAGAGTCCCAGAGATCGGGTACTGAATGGATCGATGAATTCATAAATCATTCCATGGACTGATCCAGAAAGAGGCTTTAGCCTGAAGTGTTCTGCTTCAGAGTAGTATGCAGTCCCTTAGCTTATTTCTACTTTCTTTTTTGGTTTTTGAGACAGGATCTCACTTTGTAGTTGAGACTAACCTGGAACTCATTATGTAGCCCAGGCTGGTCTCAAACTCTAACTGAGTGATCCTCCTGCCTCACCCTCCCGAGTGCTGGGATTATAGGTGTGCACCATGATTCCCGGTGTTGTTTTGGCTGTTTTAAGCCAACATTTATTTAAAAGGTGTTTTTACAGAAAGGTTTTTGAGACAGGATCTCACTTTGTAGTTGAGACTAACCTGGAACTCATTATGTAGCCCAGGCTGGTCTCAAACTCTAACTGAGTGATCCTCCTGCCTCACCCTCCCGAGTGCTGGGATTATAGGTGTGCACCATGATTCCCGGTGTTGTTTTGGCTGTTTTAAGCCAACATTTATTTAAAAGGTGTTTTTACAGAAACCTTTTGAGGAAGTAATTAGGCTCATTAAGAGATTTAGAGGACGGAATGGAAGATTTGTGCACAGAACCCCAACTTCAGACTCTGTCAATGATTCACCAAACAAGTCTCCTAAGAGACTTCCTGGCTCTGTTGATAAAGAGACGTCATTTTAGTTTGAAGGTGGCGGCAAGGCAGCCTGTCACAGCTACAGACTGTCCCAGTAGCTGCCTTCCGCTCCACTCTCTTGTCTTCCACTTTCACCTACTCTAGAACTGTATTTACCAGCCTGTGGGTCTCCAGTCCCAGGGCCCTGCTGTGTCGCATGGCACTGTGGGCTGCTGCTTCAGTCACGTGGAGCTGGCTGTCTAGTGGCTAACGAAGATTCTTGGTACTGATCTAATGTTTCTCAAGTGACAGCAAATGCCTGATGAAGCACAGTTTCGTGGACAGCTCGTGGCCACTTAACCGGTGAATGATGTGGATTGTGATGTACTTCTGTTTTGGCAGTTTGTTGCATATTCTAAGGACCCAGACATAGGCTTGGTGGCCCATCGCTTGTTTTTCCTGGTTTATGACTTTCGGCTTTGTGGAATACGGCTGAGATGAAAGGATTCATTGACGATGCAAACTACTCTGTTGGCCTGTTGGATGAAGGAACAGACCTTGGAAATGTTATTGATAACTATGTTAATGAACATACCCTGGTAAGTGTGCCCGCTCCCCTTGCTACGGAAGGTCAGTGCTGTGTTCATTTCCAGGGTGTTAATCTGATGGAAAAGTTTGGTTTAGTTGTTGGCTTTTCTGGGTTGATTGAACATGACACTGACCCCTTGTCCCATTCCGTTTGTTTGTTTGTTTGTTTTGGCACCGATCTTGTGCTTGCAAGCAAGTGAGGCGGCATCACACCACTCAGCTAAATCCCCAGCCTGCACCATTCCCTTTGAATGTATAGGGGTTTATGCTAAAGCCCATGCTTTGCTTTGCTTTGCTTTGTTTTTTGAGATAGGATCTTGCTATTATCTCAGGCTGGCCTTGAACTCACTTTGTAACCCAGGCTGGCCTCAGCTCACAGTGATCCTCCTGCCTCAGCCTCCCTGAGTGTTGGGATTTTAGGCGTGTGGCATCACACCCAGCCTTGCCCAGTTATTCAGACTGCTGTTTTTTGGCCACGCCTCTTCCACCTGGCCCTTTCACACACTCTTGCTCATGTTTGTAGACAGGATGTGAGGGCATGCTGGTGTCACAGTGCTGCCCGGAAGTCCGCTTGTACAGTCTCACTGCCACTTGAGCTCACCGCACTTCAGACAATAGAACTACTTCCATTTACTGGCGTACTGGTAGAATTTGTTTCTTTATGGAAGGTAATTTTCTTTATTTCCCAAATTTGTTGAAGAATTATCCTCACGTAACTTCAGCGCTCACTAAGATAGCATAGTCAAGCAAAAGTGCGCTCTCTGCTGGTCAGTCCAGCCTCCCCACACCGCAGCAGGCCCCTTCCCTCTCACCTCTGCCAGCAGACTTCCTACACCGCGGGAGGAAGACGCCCAGGGAGTTCTCTCCGGTGGCGGGGAGACGCCGGGCCACGTTTTGGCAGCCTTCTTCGTAGCCGTGTGCGGGACGGTTGCTCTTCCTGACACACTGTGCCTGCTCGTGTCCTCGTCTGAAGTCACCCATGCTTCGTGGTGCCGAGGACGGCTCAGCCCCTTCTGACTGCGGCTGCAGTGGGGCTGCAGTGGGGCGGCGGGGCCGGCCGAGTCAGGCTGCTGTGCCTACCTCCCCTCGTGGGCGCCTTCCTGCCCCCATTCTCCATTCCTGCCTTTGCATGCATGGTAGTGGTGGCCTCCTCACCATCTGCCTTTTCCTTTTTCCACTTCTTCCCAGGTCTGTTTCAGTTTGTTGCATAGTCATTCAATCAGAGCTTTCCAGTAGTCAGATTAGTTTTCCATTGCTTACTAAGATTTTTCCAGATTCACATTTGGCCTAAGAATGGGTACTGAAGGTGGGAGTGGTGGTGCAGGCCTGTAATCCCAGTGCTCTAGGAGACTGAGGCAGGACGACTGCAAGTTTGGTTGGTTGGTTGGGGTGTTTTGTTTTGCTACTGGAGGTCGGACTTGGGACCTTGCACGCTTGTGAGGAGGGCGGCAGCACCACTGGGCTAAATCCCGGGCCCAAGGAAGTTTGCAAAGTTAAGCTCAGCCCAGGCAATTTAGTGACTTAGTTGAGATCCTCTCTCAATATAAAAAGAATTAGAAAAGGTCTGGAGATGTATGTAGCTCAGTGCAAAAGCCCCAGGTTCAGCTCTTGGGATTTTTTAGTTTGTTTTTCGGAGTTTCTTTTTTGTTTGTTTGTTTTTTGAGACAAGATAGTGCTTTGTGGTCCGGGCCAGCCTTGAACTCATGATTCCCCCTTCCTCAGTTTCCCCAGTATTGAAGATTACAGGTATGTTGGGGCCCAGGGATTTAGCTCAGCAGTTTGGTGGCCTGCCTTGCAAGCGCAAGGACCCGAGTTTAATCCCCGGTACCAAAAAAAAATAAAAATAAAAATAAAGATTACAGGTATGTGCCACTGTGTCCAGTTTAAAAATCAGTTTTATTGTCTTTGGAGGGAAAAGTGTCCTTTATATGGGGCATTGAGTTTTGTTTTTTGAGATAGGATCTCAACTGTATCATCACCCAGTCTGAGCACGAGTGATCCTCCTGCCTCATCCTCCCAAGTAGTTGGCACTGCAGCCATGCTCTGAAGTATTTTTAAAAATCAACTCTTTTTGAGCCCTCCACACTGTATTAATAAATTATACCCTGACCTGCCAGAAGAAGTAAAATTGGGACAAAAGATTATAAAATGGAAAAGTCAGTATGTTTTTGAAACCCCAAAATATTTTATATAGCACAGTAGAATCACATTTATAAAGCAAGATGAAAACCAGACAGACTCCTTTAATGTTCAGCTCCTCTGGTGTGGAAGGGGAGTTTCTTCCCGTCTTGGAGTATTTCCACTCATTCTTGCTCTTTCTCATGACGGTACAGACAGGGAAGAGTGCGTTTTTTGTGGGGGACCTGGGGAAGATCGTGAAGAGGCACAGCCAGTGGCAGAGTGTGGTGGCTCAGATCAGGCCATTCTACGTGGTGAAGTGCAACCCCGCGCCGGCCGTGCTGGAGACGCTAGCGGCCCTGGGCACGGGGTTTGCTTGCTCCAGCAAGGTGAGTGTGTCACGTGTCCCCCACTGGCAGCAGTAGGACCCAGGGGAATCGGGGCTTTGCGGGGGTAGAGGCAGCCCACCGCGATCACGTAACTAACCCGTCGGGTATGTGAATGCCAGTGGGTTTCAGTGTGATGGCCCTTTCTTAGTTAAAAACAAATTTGTTTTTTCATTTTCAGGCTCGAATTAGTTCCACTTCTGAGCATAGCATATGTTTAAACAGAGTAGTGCAGGGAAGCCTAAGGAACCGTGAACTGATACTGTGTAATGTAATCACTGTCCGAGCAGGAAGTGACTTAGGAGGCTGAGTGTGTAGGCGTGGTAGGTGGAGCACCTGTCTAGAGCACAGAAGGCTTTGGCTTCAGTCCCTAGTGCTGCAGAGTGTGTACACAGGCGCGTGGGTCTGTGCAGGGGGCGGTGGGGATCGGTCAGCTGAAAAGCAGTTGAAGCTTTGCCAGTCAAGTAATAGTGTTCAAAATGTCTTTTCACAGAATGAAATGGCTTTAGTGCAAGATCTGGGTGTGTCTCCAGAAAACATCATTTACATAAGTCCTTGCAAGCAAGTGTCACAGATAAAGTATGCAGCGAAAACTGGAGTGAATATTATGACATGTGACAATGAAATTGAATTGAAGAAGATTGCTCGTAATCACTTGAATGCCAAGTAAGTATAAAACTTAAGCAGTTGAACATTGTCTTACTACCGAGGGGAAGTGGTTTGTCTCTGTCCCGGGAAGAAGGGCTTTTTATAGGATAGCAGTGTTGTATTGTGATTACAACTTGACTTGTTGAGAGTTTCTGTATTGAAATGGTCACGGCATGTTACTGACAGCCTGCTTCTACTCCCCTGCCATGTGGTCTAGGGAAATGATATTATAGTCTGTGCTCAGGGAAATAGGTAGCCTGATAGGTTAGTGCCATGGCGGTCTAGTAGTTGGGGGTCCCAAAAACATTTAGGCTGAGTACAGGTGATCCTGCCTCATCCTCCTAAGTAGCTGGTACTACACCTGTGCTTATATTTTTAAAATCTAAATCTCTCTGGCCGGGGATTTAGCTCAGTGGTTCCGTCAGTTGCTTCACAAGCATAAGGTCCAGAGTTTGATCCCCAGTACCAAGAAAAAATCTAAATCTTTCTGGGCTCTCTGCACTGTATTAATAAAAGTATATGCTGGACTGCCAAAAAGCTTGTACGTCTGTAAGTTTTTGACTAACGTTAATGTTACTGTGACAGCATTAATTGCCCTGAAAAATGTTGAGTAAAGGGGAAAATTTTAGGGAAAACTGTCTTAAAAAAATTGGGCCAGAGTTCAGGAGAGGAGCAGTGCCGGTGCCTCCTGGTGAGCTTTTGAGCTGGTTGGTGCCTTCTCTGCAGAACCCATTGCCCTGAGGCTCCTTCTGTCTGCTCTGCAGCCCTGCCTCTGTGCACCAGTCCCTCAGCAGGACTCCAGGAGACACTGGAGGAGCACCGGTTAGGGTTTGTACATCCGCCTCCATCACTGCCTCAGTTGTCCTTTGGAGGCAATGATAGAAGATTTGCGACACACACAGTCATTAAAGCATCTTGATTTTTCCCAGTTAGAAATCTCCTAGGATGTAGGGGATTAATAGCAGAAGCTCCCGGTGTGTGATGAAGGGCAAGCTACCTGCCTTTAAGATGTTACAGCCCACCTATTTTTATTGAAAGACATTGATGACATTGCTATTGAATTTAGTCTTTCCAGGTGGATTTATGGACCAATGGACTTCATTTGAAAGTAATGTCGTCTTTCATTACAGAGCCCAACTTACTCTTGGTGTTACAGCAGCTTTAATTGGCTGCATTTTCCAAAATCCTGTCCTTGTGAGCTTCATGCCTTAGGCCCTAATGGCTAGTTTTTTCTCTGTGCAGGATTGTTTTTCATTAGGTTCCCTTGAGTCGTCCATCGCTGGATTCGGGAGCACTGGCAACACAGTCAACACACTTCCTCCAGCTTCAGGCTTCACATGTGCTGATGATGATGTAAACCAACTCTGCCCCAATCATCTCCCCTTCTCTTAGGGTCTTACTACATCTTGCAACAGAAGATGGTAGTGGAGGTGAGGAGGGTAGCATGAAGCTGGGCTCCACACTGAAGAACTGTAGGCATCTCTTGGAGTGTGCTAAGGAGCTCGATGTGCAAATCATCGGGGTTAAGTGAGTATCCTTTTCCACCTCTTCCGTGGTGATAAGCTTTCTGCTTAGGGATTTAATAAAGACTTCATTTGCATGAAATCTAAGATTCCGTTTCTTTCAGTAATTATGTATAGATTTTCTTGGTTTAGAAAAAACAAAAACAAATACACTTTTTCCTTCACGCTGCCCCCTGTAAAGAGCAGTTTGAATCAGACCTCACTACCACCAGGGTCTCTGGTGCAGGGCTGTGTACACGCCAGGGTTCAGACGAATTGTAAATGGCATTCAGCTTCAGTAGCTCCTCATATTTTATTGTTTCTCATCTGGTGTTTTCCCTCTTAATCGCTCATGGGCACTTCAGTTAATCACTTGTTTACCCTTGCTGTGTTTTTGTGTGGAAACTTGGTGTTTTCTTATGTGAACTCAGAGGTTTAATCCATCCCCGCCAGCTTGAACCACTGGTGTGGTACACACGTGAGTGGCCCAGTGGTGGCTTGTATAGCTGCTGGTACAAACATCTGATCGCCTTTATTGGTCTTTTTACTAATAAAATTACTCAAAAATTTATTAAAGGACTGAATCTAGCTAATTACCTAAATTTGAATAATTATTGCCCCAAGGTGAATGTTAGTGCGATTCATGCCAAAATTAAAATTATTATAGTAATCAATACATTTATTTTAGTTACTGTGATTATTAATACAAAATTTATTTATGAATAATTTATCAGTGATTATTTGAATAGCGTTTTCACATTCTCCTTAAGGTACTTTAGTAAGATGCTGTCTGGCCTGCTGCATCGCGCCTTTCTTTGTACAACTGTGTGCAGAGCCCCCTGATGAGAGCTACCAGTCACCCGATGGCAGGATGAGTGCAGTCAGCTCAGAGCTGCACCTCAGCGAGACCTGAATTATGGCCCCGCTGTGAATGTGTTGATGATTTGATATCAGAGTCTCAGAACAAACAGTAACACAGATGCGTGACTTAGTATGTTTCAGCACCTCTTGTACACACAGGCAGGCGGTAGTCTTCTAAGTGAAAATTTGAATTTTGCTGTATTCTGCACAGTAGATAAAACATTGTTGGGATACATACATTTCTATGATTTTTTTTTTTTTTTTTTTTTTTTTTTTTTTGTACTGGGGATCAAACTCAGGACCTTTCGATTGGGAGGCACGCGTGGTGCCACTGAGCTAAATCCCCGGCCCCCATTTCTGTGAATTTTGACATCTGTGTCACCACTACCAAATCGCTGTAACAGAACTATATTTCAGTTAAACTTTATTATGAAGCTTTTCGTGTAGTTATCACTAAGAAGTAATACTAGTAAGTATGGCTTAGCTGAATTAATATTTTTACACTCATTTCACAAGACGCGCTTTGATATTTGGTAGAGGCATTGAGTGTTGAAGTGGAAATTGTTGTGAGCCCACCATTTGTGCTTGTTCCACACGATACATATGTGCGCATCTGTAGATGGGAACACGCTCTGTCATGGCTGGTGCCCGAGTGCAGGTTTGTTTATGTCGTTACACTATTGGAAGGTTGCTGTTTCTGAACAGCTGGAGTTGTAACTTGAGTAACTAGAAGCTGTCTGACTAGTGCACATTTGGTGAAGTTACCGTCAGTACAGTGAGTGCCCATTGATAGGAATTACAGGAAGTGCCTTGACAACTTACTACTGTTTTAAATTTACTCTTAATTCTTTCAGATTTCATGTTTCAAGTGCTTGCAAAGAATCTCAAGTATATGTGCATGCTCTCTCCGATGCTCGGTGTGTGTTCGACATGGCTGTAAGTTCTTCAAGTTGTTTTGATATTCTAAGTCAGGATGTGTTTAAGACTTTTTTCCTGCCTGTGTGAATTAACTGTCATTACACCTGAGGACATGTACCTTGCTTTTAATAATGTACGGATCCAGAGGCCCATGTAGTCACTTTTAAGTAGGTAAAGGAGTGAAATAGCAGTTTATTTACCACACAAGTACAGTTGAGATTGAGGGGGCATTGAATGAATGGATTTCTGTTACATTTTGGGAAAGCATTTAAAAATCTTTTTTTCATCTCTAGGGAGAATTTGGCTTTACGATGAGCATGTTAGACATTGGTGGAGGCTTCACAGGAACTGCCTTTCAACTGGAGGAAGTGAGTTTTTCAGTGATGGATCAATCCACACACTGCTTTCTTTGCTGTTTTTCCCCCAGTGCAGATGATTGATCCTGGCCTTTGTAGTGCATTACATCCCCACCCAGCCCATTTGTAGATTTGCCCAGACAGGGCTGAATAACAAGCAATGAGATGATCAAGCTAACATTGAAAAGTGTGAAATGCTTTCACCCTTACAACATTATCACAGATTTTTTTCTTTAATCCTTCCCACCCCCTGCTGTCCTGTTTCTCATTCTGTAGTTATTAGAAACTGCTTGAAACTTGGTATTTTGGTGCTGTCAACCAAGTACACTGTGAGAGTTTTACTTTTCTTTCAAATAAGTGTCACATTGATGGTTGGTTATAAAGTAAACTTAGAAGTCTGCCTCATTGTTTTTGAGGATCACCTGCTGAGTAGCTAAGCTTTATTGTCTGTAACTGGGATTGCCAGATTTCCTTAAACTCTACCTGTCAGCCTCTTCAGTTCTGAATTCTGAAACTTGATATTGAAGCCGTGTGTAACCTGGAATTTAAACTCCACAGGTCAATCATGTTATCAGTCCTCTGTTGGATGTCTACTTTCCTGAAGGCTCTGGCATCAAGATCATTTCAGAACCTGGAAGCTACTATGTGTCTTCTGCATTTACACTTGCAGTTAATATCATTGCAAAGAAAGTTGTTGAAAATGAGACATTTCCCTCTGGCGGTGAGTTGCAAAGTCCATAGTTTGATTTTATTAGCAGATGGTTGTAGTTAGTCTGGAGATGGATAGGTGGTCGTAGTGCCACAGGCAACTTTCCCAACCTCCAGTGGCACCTGGGAACTTCTCAGAAAGCCACCCAAGTCCTGTTCCATGAGGCTGCACAAGTCAAGACCCTGCTTGGCACTGTTGTCTAGATGTAGTTTAGATGCTGCAGGGGCCTGTTCTCATCCCTGTTAAAGCCACTGTTTGATTCCTCTTGCCTCAGGTGGGACACAGGGAATACTGCAGGCACTCTCTTGACAGAGGCGCCGCCACACAGCCCCTCCAGCCAGCCTCAAGTCAGGCCATAGAAGAGGTGCAGTGGTCTGTCCCAACACCCAGTGCCACTGTCAGAATTCTCCATGAGCGCAACTCATTTTCACAGGGATGGGTCCCTGGTGGTCCCTGGTCCTCACTGGAATGTAGTCTAGGCCCACATGCTGCAACTGCCTGTCGCCTCTTGTGTTTCTTTCCTTTGCCCTTTGTGAAGAGGAGGTTTGTCTAAGTGGTGTCGTTAGTGTGGGATTTGGAGAAGCTCACCCAGATGGTTGGAATAGGAAGCATGTGACATTGGCCTGCTGTCACCTCGATGGGCCTGAGGTTTTGTTGTGGGCGCTTGGTTGAGGTGGTGTCAGGTCTGCCCTGTTAAGTGGGAGGGGAGTTTGGGATTGGGTCGAGTAATAGTGACTACTGGTCTAGCATGTGTCTATGAATTTCTAACTCTGTTACTCAGAGTGTAAGTTGGCTTTTATTTAAATAACTTCCTTTGCTCATATTTGTTTATATGTACAGTACTTATTTGGATTAGCTGAGACTTGTAGTACATATTCTTTAGTAACGAACAGTGGTACTTCGGTTCACAAACTTAATTCTTTCCACGATTCTGGTCGCTGAATTGCAAGCATAGTAACCAGAAATGTGGAAAGAAGTTCGTGAGCCCAGGTACCTACCACCGTATCTTCCTACTGTCCCAGCCCTGGTCCTTCCGGCAGGCCCGCTGCATTGTTCTCTGGGCCCATCTTTAGTTTCTGGTGCATTGAGAGGCTCCAGGCCTGCTTTCTCCTGCCCCTGCCTCTGTCCTGAACAAGCCGCCTCTGTTCACGTGCTTACCGGGCATCTTTTGTGTGGAGTGTGTGTTCAGTGTTTTAGGCCAAGTTTTGTTTTAAGGTATGTGGGTGTATAGCAGTTCTTTTAAAGTTGATGGAAAGGTTTTGAGAAATGAGAATATTAGATTTGGGTTTTTTTGTTTGTTTGTTTGCTTGTTTTTGGTACCGGGGATTGAACTCGGGTACTTGGGCTTGCGAGGCAGGCCACGGAACCGCTGAGCTAAATCCCCGGCCCTAGATTTGTTTTATTGATAATGGTTCTGTTTGATGATGTCACTTGTATATTATATGCGCAGTATATTGGGCATTTTACAATGAATTCACTTTCCTGTCTTATTTTAGTAGAAAAAACCAGGAGCGATGAACCAGCCTTTGTGTATTATATGAATGATGGTGTGTATGGTTCTTTTGCGAGTAAACTGTCTGAGGACTTGAATACCATTCCAGAGGTTCACAAGGCAAGTTTTATTACAAATATTACCAAAGCTTGTTTTGTTGGTTAAGAAACCTAGCTGTTAGGGTAGGGATATAGCTCGGGGTAGAGTCCATTTGTAAGGCACTGGATTTAGTCCCCACCTCCTCCTCAAAAAGTGGAGGGACCTAGCTGTGATTTTTCCACCTTGGAATGCTGGAGATTGAACCCAGGGCATTCATATTGAGCTACAACCTCCACCCTATTTTATTTATTTATTTTTTTGGTGACAAGGTCTCACTAAATTGCCCATGCTGGCATTGAACTTCTGGTCCTCCTGTCTCAGCCTTCCAGACTGGATTATGGCCGTTGCCTCAGCACGCCCAGCCCTTAGCTGTTATTTGAAATTCTACTTTTGGAGAAATACTCGGGTGGATTCGGTGCCCTTTTCTGAGGACTCCCATCTGCGGCCAAGCGCCCTCAGCTCCTTGCCGTAGCTGTGGGTTCCTCCCGTAGGCCCGGTACTCAGGGCAAAGCTGCTTAGGCGCCGCCCACAGGCTCTGGCCTGCCATGAGTTTGAGTAAAGGGTTAATTTTTAAAAACCTCTTTCTACAGAAATACAAGGAAGATGAGCCTCTGTTTGCAAGCAGCCTTTGGGGTCCGTCCTGTGACGAGCTGGACCGGGTTGTGGAGCGCTGTCTGCTGCCCGAGCTGCACGTGGGCGACTGGCTGATCTTCGCCAACATGGGCGCAGACTCTCTCCAGGAAGCGTCTGCGTTCAGGGACGTCCCGGGGCCGGCTGTGTACTACACGATGTCATTCAGTGACTGGTAAGGGTGTGCGGGCTCTCAGAATAGAGGGAAGCTTTCAAGATTGCTACTGATGCCCGTGACGGGCCGCGGTACAGGTAGCGGAGCAGCACGACGGACCACTTGTGTGCCATCCAAACATGGCCTCTGCCGGCTCGCGTTCTGATGCTGCTGCTTCTCTCCCTGCAGGTATGAGATGCAGGATGCGGGGGTCCCCTTGGACACCATGATGAAGAACTTCTTCTTCGTGCCTTCTTGCCTTCAGCTGAGCCAGGACGACAGCTTTCCCACAGAGGCTTAGGCCCTGCACCCCTTTAGATCTGAGCGTTTGGGCTGCACTGGTCTGGTCTACATTCCAGGGTGGAAAACAATCCAGAAATCTCACTCTGTTCTCTTGGAAACAAGTCGATAGCTCTGTGGGACCAGACAAAATCAGCTTTCATCTAGAATTCACTGGGGGTAACAGGAAATTTAGATAATGTGTCCAGATTAAACCTAACAGTTTGTCCTACCCTTTAAGCTTTGAAAATAAAATATGCAACAAAATGGATGACTTAGTGGAGATGGAAGCCCATGACCTGGGTTCCCCTCAACCGTTTACATACAAGTACACAGTTTTTATACTGAGGCTTCGTGTCCAAAAGTCTTGTAAAGTTAGCGTCTTCCACCCAAATATGGCAGATGTCGGTGGAAGACTAATGTGGCTTCCTTAGATACGTTTAGTGTATTCCGAGTGTGTAAATTTGTGCTTTGAACTGTAGTTTAATGTAAAATTGCATCATAGTATTTGTTGTACTTGACCTAATGTAACCCCTGTATGATTGCAATAAAATTTTGTGTAGATTTTACTGTTTTTTCAGGCTAAAACTTTGGGAAAGGGGCTAGCTAGCAAAGGTAGTTTTGAAATAGAGGTGTATATGATCTGTTTTGAGGGGTTTTTTTGTTTGTTTTAATAGCTCATTTAAATTTAGTTGGGCTCAGTACGTTTTTCAGTTATTTAATTAGTAATTTAAAGTGTGTGGTAAATCATTGTGAAGTTCAGATTCATTATGGAGTTATTGTGCAGTAAGCATGATGTTTAACAATTTTAACACCAAAAAAAATGTTACTCCTGCATAAACCAATTGTAATAATGACTAGGTGTTTCTGTATAGGTAGAATGCGTAGAGTAACTTAGTAAATCTTTGAATCACAAATCTTTTGGCTGACATGGAAGATTTCTATTGAATACTTTGAATAAACTTGATGGGGAGGGAAATAAAACTGCAGAGACGTGCAGAGCACTAAAACTCAAAGAAGGGCTACATCTGTATCCGGAAATCTGGTCTCTTCTTTTTTTCTGCATGGAATATTTAAATATAGAGTGGGGAGGGAAGGTGGGGGCAAAGTGTACTTCTGTAGTCTCTCAGTGATTTCAAATTTAGGGTTTTTAAAAGTTGTTACTGATTTGAACTATTCCCTAAGTTTCTTGTTATTTCTCGTTTGTTTGTCCAGCTGGATGATTTTAATTTGTTTCATCCTAAGATTTTCTGGTGGTTGGGGAAGGAGGTGAGTCTCTCACCCAAACCTTGTCGCCAGGGATTTGCATTGTCCTGCCGCTAGTGTGTAGTCCCCAGTCCCCAGTCCTAGGTCTCCGACCCTAAGAGTAATAAACACCAGGGGTCACGTTCTTCCTAACTTCCTCTGTGTGCAGATGTGGGATTTCTCTCCCAGGAGGAAATGTGACCTCACTTTGGTGCCAATGGACAGAACATTCTACCTGCTACATGGGAGAGGTTTGGAACGCACTTGCGTAGCTGGTTTTGCACCTTAACTTCAAGATGGAAGTAAATTGATCATGTATCTGATTTCAATCTCAAACCAGTAGGTGCTTAATATATCTTTATTTGATTAATACCCATTTGAACTGCATGGATTCTATTAAGGATATTTAGGGCCCAATCCACTGTCATCTAATTGCCCTTGGACTTTCAAGGTGTACTATAGGGTTTTATGCAAAATTCCAGACAACCATGCAACTTTTTAAAAACAGTCACGAGGAGTCATTCTTCTACCTTGTTCTCTTGTGGTCCAGAAATGCTGAACCCTTTCCAACGCACTGCTCCAAGTTGGGGTTCACCCGGGCGGGCTCAGTTGGGGTCTGTGGATGTGCTGTCCCCTGGGAGAGCGCCACCTCGGGATTGCAGACCCCTCCCGAGTGCGTGATAAGGCGACTAAGAAATGAGTGCATTGTATGGGGAGACCGCATGACATAGGTCTGAAGTCTCGTGTGCTCCAATTTGGTGTGCTAACAGTAATGTAAAACCTTTTTATATAATGTATCAGTTCAAAGCTGAAAATATGAAACCCAAATGACTTGTGTAGTAAATTGAACTGTAAAGGTAACTTGTGTGATTCTGAATGCACAGATAAAATGTTTTTATTCCTCATGTTTTACGTCAGTGGCTTCTATTGTTAAATGGAGTTGAGGTTTTACAGTCTCCGCTAAGCTTTCTCTCAGGGTTGTTCCTCACCAAGCACCGTGGATGGCCAAGTGCTGGGTCGCACAGAGCCGAGGGCGTGGTGCTGCAAGCATCCAGACAAAGCAGTTCACCAGCCTGATCATAAACGGACGTGGTACAGCTCTGTATGGATTGTGCTGGGCGCTGAGCTCTGGTAGCCATGCAGTGCGGATTTGGGATAGAAAGGCCAGGTTGCTAACCTGTCTTGGCTTTCAGAAGTTCTCTGGTCCAGGCCTGATGGCACACTCCTATAATCTCAGTTCTCTGGGAGGCTGAGGCAGGAGGATCACAGGTTTCAAGCTCAGCATGGACAATTTAGTAACTTAAAAAAACCCTGTCTCAAATCTTGAAAATAAAGGGCTGGGGATCTGTAGCACCATGGAGACCTTGAACTCTATGGAAACAAAAACTGGGTGATGGTGTGAATTTATTTTTCCAGATGTTAACGTTGAAGGGTTATTACAGAAAGCAGTGCAGTCGTGTAGATTTTGCTGAGTGCAGCCTCCAGGTTCAGATCCTGTCCATGTCCCTGCTACACACCATCACCCAGCTCTTGCATGCTCCAAATGGTGGTGACGGTGAATCAGCTTCCTGGGGTGGGAGGGCAGCTGGAGGGGCCGCGAGAGAGCCTTTGGTGTCCTCGTCTGAGGGCCTCACTAACACGGCAGAGGTTCCTAGCAAATGACAGGAGACCTCTACTACCCCGCCATGGTTTGGGCCTTGTCCCTGAGGCTTACGTGAAGGAGTGTGGTGTGTCCTGCCTGTGAGGACCAGCTGGCGCTCTTGTTGGCTTGCAGTGACCTCTGAAGTGACAATCTGGTATCTGAACCACCTGAGTTGCCCAGAAGCCTCTGCGACTCGGCCCTCCCTGGTCTCCCCAAGCGGGGAGGGATTGTGTTTGGCACAAATCTGGTCTCTGGAGCTTTTCCCTTTTGTTGGGACTGGGGTCAAAATTGGATCCGATTTTTTTTTGTTTGTTTGTTTTTTGGTTTTTTTGAGGCCCGGTCTTTTGCTATGTAGCCCAGGCTGGCCTCGAACTCCCTTCAGCCTCAAACTCCAGCCTCCAGCCTCAGCCTCAGCCTCCTGGAGTGTGCCACCATGCCTGGCTGGATCAGATCGTTCAGTTTGGATTTCTTTTTCTAACATGTGTGTTGCGAAGTTTAAACAAGTTTGAAATTCAAGTAATTCTGGTAATGAGTCTTCTGGGTTAAGAGAAAGCTGACCTGAAAAGCATACAAGCCTCAGTTCTGCGCCTGACCCGTTCCCGCTGGCTAGGCCCAGGGATGGTTCACGGCTGCCCGGCAGTGAGGCGTGAATCACAGCTCGGGTGTAAGCGTGTTGCCTGGGAGAAGGTGCACTTCTTCAGACCGCGTGGGATACACGAGCCTGTTACCACACCCGGGAAAGAACACGGGTGTGAACCGGAGGTTTTCCTTTCTCGGAAATGCGCTGGTTGGGCTAATAGGCAAATAGCTGTGAGCCAGGGGTCCTGCTGGGTTGCCCAGTATGTCATGCTCCTGCCTCGGCCTCCCAAGTGGCAGTGGTCACAGGTGTGCACCGTCGCTCCTGGCTTGACCCGTTTTCTTTTTCCCTTTTGGTACCGGGGGTCGAACTTGCGTCCTTGAGCTTGCGAGGCAGAGGGTGGAACCACTGAGCTAAATCCCCGGCCCCTTGACCTAGGTTTTCATTTGCTTTAGATGGAAGCAGTAGAAGGCTAAGTAGAACAGGAAGGAAGAAGAGCAGTCATACATTGCCGGGTGAGCTTCCCAGCCGTGACCCTTCCACACCCCTGCTTCCGCCGACCCAGGATGGGGAGGACCGTGTCCACCGGAACAGGTGACGAGGCCTCGGGTGGCCGTGGAGGAGAGCGGTTCGCGCCTGAGTGAGCCGGTCCTGCTGCCCTTTCCTAGTTACCACCCCAGCACGCGTGTGCGCCTTGAGCTTGGAATTGGCGATGCTCGGGAATTTTCCTTATCTGGATTTCATGGGTTTTCTTTCATCTGTGTTTTATTTTCTGCTTTTCAAACGGCTTTCTGGGTTTTTCTCGGCTGCATTCCAAGCCTTGTTTTGCGCCGTGATTTTCCTTTCCTGGGCCGGATGGCAGTGGTCTCACACACTCCAGCCCGCTCACCTTGGTGTCCTGTGTGTTCCAAGGAACCCATCTTCTCGATCGCCCCCTCCACCAGCCATAGGGCAGCTGAGGGACGAAGAGAATCGAATGGGTGGGTTGGTGGGAGCTCGGGTCCTCGCCCCGCGGCCTTGCAGCTTGGGGTGCTCAAGGGGATAGAGCCGGGGTAGGAGAAGGCCGGGCTCGGCCTGGCGGCACAGGGCTGACCACGAAGGACCAGGCGCGCTACCCCGGTGTCTGAGAAGCAGGGGTGTCTGAGAAGCAGGGCTGCGCGGGAAGGCTGGTGCAGCCCGACCTGGGCGGAACCCGCAGGACGCACGAAGGAGGAGCCCAGAGGACGCGCGTGGTGCTTTGGCGGCTCTGGGTTGGCTGCAGTGGTGGCCCTGCCACTAGGCGGCGACCGCGGACCACCTGCGTGCCCAGTCCGGGATCACCGCTGAGCCCCAAACAGCATGGAGTCTGGTATCTGAGGTGGCAGGGCACTGGGAGGCCCCTGGGGCAGGTGATCCAGCCACACATCCAGTCGACACCTGGCTTCTCCGGGCGGGCAGTGACCAAGGCAGGTCCACAGTTGCAGAGCAGCTCAGGGAGAGGTGGAGAGGGGCCCTAGGGGCTGAGTGCGTGTGCAGCCGGACCCCCTTCCCCTATACAGCCCAGGCTGGCCTCAAAATCACAGTGACCCTCCTGCCCCAGCCTCCCAGGAACCAGGATGCCAGGCTGGTGCCACCACGCCTAGCTGCTGTGGCTGTTGGGTGCACACGGCAGGCAGCGGGTTCCCCAGAGGCCAATTCTCCCGGGCTGTGTCTCCTGTTCCCGATGAGCTACCACAGTCACAGGGCAGGCCCAGGGTTGCCAAGGCGCCCCTGCTTCCTGACCTCTGCCTTCCAGGCTCTTTGGGGACCCCCGTTGGCCCTCTGTCAGCAGCTGTCACCCCAGGGCTCGGTCCCCCTTCTTTTGGTGGTGGTTGGTTTCCAATTTTGAGACCAGGTCTTGTGCCCAGGCTGGCCTGGGACTCCTGGGTTCACGGATCCCTCCTGTTTCATCCTCCCAGTTTGCTGGAGCTCCAGGTGGGCTTTTGTTAGTTTGTATTTTTGTTCCTGGGGAGCAGAGGGTGGCTGCCAGCTGCCTGGTCCCCACTGCAGGAAGCTGGGTCAGGTGGCACCTCCTTTTCTTCCCCTAAACTTAAGAGTTCTTTTCAGTGCTGGGGAGTGGAACCCAGTGCCCTGCCCCCACCCAGCACTCTACGATGGAGCCTCCTGCACCGTCGGACATGTCTGAGCTCAGGCTGCCCAGCCAGGCACACGGCCGACGGAGAAGCAGACACCACGGAGCACCTCGCGGACAGGTGTCCCTGGGACCTGGGCTGGTGGGAGGAGGCGGGCCCTGATCAGGTCACGGAGGGCACAGCCCTGGTCAGGGCACTGGGCTGTGGAGAAGCGGGGTCCATGCGGTGAGGTGTGCAGGGAGCTGAGCTCGAAGTGACCGCAGGCCCAGGCGAGGGACAGGGGTGTCAAAAACGGGGCGTGCAGCTTTGAGGGCAGGTGGGGTCGGGCCCTGGTGATGCGAACAGCACGGGCTGGCCCCTGGCGAGACCTGTCCCAAACAGCCAGGGAAAGGCAAGGCGGGTCCCCAGTCCAGGCTGGGTCCTCCTGGGTGAGGGCCGCCTCCAGACCAGCCTCCCTCTGTTGGGGAGAGTTCCGGGCCACTTCCCTGCCCATTCCTCCGGGTCCTGGGTTGCTGGGCTTTGGCAGAGGAGGATGTGTCTGCCACGAGGGCGGTGCTCCCATCGAAGGCACTGTCTTCGCTTCCCTCGGTCAGGACGAAAACAGGCACAGGGACCTCCTGAGGGTCCCCCATGTGTGCAGGGCCCTGATGCAGGGTGGGGAGGGTCACTGGGTCTGTGGGGGTTCTCATTTTCCACGCGAGAGGAGATGTGGCCCCAGGTGCGCAGTCTGTCCTGAGGGGTCCTCTGCCCACCCCACACCGTGTGTCCTGTCATCAGCAGGCAGTCAGCAGCCTGGCACCCCATGGCCTGGGCCCTCAGGCGGCTCCCCAGGTCTCCACGGGGACCCCGACCCAGGTGCCTCCTTCCTGGGGGCCATAAGAGGCTCTGCTGACCATGGCCTTGGGTCTGGGGACGACGGTCATGGGACTGGTGGGGGGGGAGCGCTCTGACCCCTGTCCCCACGGCATCCCTGTCCCCATGCCTGTCCTGGGCCCTGTGGCTGTGGGTAACGGAGGTCAGGGCTCGGCCTTCCCGGACACGCCCACCCTCCGGCTTTCCGGGTGGCTGAGTCAGCAGGGCCTCCGTGGGCCAGAGTGAGTCAGGGCTCAGGGCCCGCCTGTGACACCCTCCGGATGGGGACCGGGGTGTCTTGTGGGGTGGGGCGGGGCCTACCCTGAAGTTCCAGGGCTCAGGAAACCGCACCCACGAGCCTCCCAAGGTCGGGAGGACAAGGTTGGGGACTGAGGAACCGCCCTGCTGGGAGGAGAGGACGCCCTGGCTCCCCAGTGCTGTCAGCGCGTCTGTCCTCCAGCACCCGGAAGGCCGAGGCAGCAGGATCGTCCCAGACGATGGCCAGCCTGAACGGCACAGCTGGAGAAGAGAGGGAACCTAGCTGTACTGGGAGAGGGCACTGGAGCTGCGCCTCTGTCCCTGGGGCCAGGCAGGGCTGAGCTGGGAAAGGGGAGGAGAAAAGAAAACTTGTGGTTTCCTGCTTCAGCCTGTGCTGCCCGGGGCCCAGCCCTGCAGGTCCACGGGGAGGCGGAGGAGGGAGGGCAGTGGG